GGGAAGGAGCAGGAGATCGGAGGCGTTGGTCCTTGCGAGGTTTTCTGAACACCATAAATTACTGCGGAAACGAGTCTGTTTGTTACCAAGATGTAACCCTCGGACCAGGAAGCCTTTGACTCCCATAAAATCCAGAATTAAGAGCCAGAGGAAAAGACTTGGCATTTAACTCTTCGTCTTGGAGAATATTACCTTGACGAGCATAGGCAGTGGAATTTAATCTTTACACAGGGTATAAATTGGACCTGCTCCTGAGCTCGCTGAGGCCCAAGCTTTTTGGGCCCTTTCAAATGTGACTAGCAAAACAATACTAAGTGAAGTATATAAGGTGCTGGGGGAAAAAGTGAGATTCTAGAATTCTACTGACTGACTTACACCATACAAAGAACTAGACACTGGGCCTGATCATTATATATTACTTAGAGTAAAAATACATAATTTGTTTACTTTCTATCAGAAATAATAATATTTTATTTTTATTACAGATGATCTTCAATGCTGATGAGGCCCACAACATAGTTAAGGAGGTAGGTTTTAGCTAACATCTGTACTTCAGAGAAAATCTTTACCTTACCTTGCACTATAGGGAAAGCACTTTTATTGATCATCCCAGATACATTCAAACTTGGGTGAAACTATTACTTATATCAAATAAAGATGGAATTTCAACTTTAAGCTTCACCTTATTGCTGTCTTCAACTACCTAAATAAGAGAAGATGGATAAGAGAGAGCCAGAATTCACATCACAGTGGTAAGATGAGAAGCAGCAGTCACACATTGCAAGGGAAATTATTTTTTTTCCTCTTTATCCAGCTAGAGAGTAGTTAATCACTAGAGAGGCCACAGGGAGAGCTTGTGGAGTCTCCATTCTTTGAGATTTTTAATACTTGAACTTGCCTGAAGGAGGCCTCGACTGGCATGATGAGACTTGGAAGTTAGCCTTGGTTTGAGCAGGAGATTGCATGACCTGAGCTTGTTATACTGGCAGTACTTTTAAAAAGACAGTTTTTACATGAAAGGAGGAGATTGAAAGTACTTAGCCTGATGGTCTAAATTACATACCTAGAAAATGGAAAGTGATGAATGAAGAGTCTGTGGTGTACAGGTGCTGTCAGGTTTTGCAGCGAAATACGATTTTGAGAAAGGAATTCCTAGAGGGGTTCTGCAGTTCCTTTCCCACCTGTCCTGTCTAGAAGGGAAAGGGCTGGGCTTTTAGAGCAGCTCCAGTACCCAACAGCAAGCTCTTGGATTCAACCCTCTATATAACTGTCCCTGCCTTGAAAGGCCAAATATGGTATGACAGAGTCTCTTTACTTTCCCACCAGGCACTGGGAGTAAAGCCAAGTGTTTTTGTCTCTGATTGAAAGCCTACCCAGAGCTGAGGAGCTCCAGCACTGGGTACGTTCCATCATGTTTCTGGAAGGACAAAAATCCCCAAGGGATCTTGTCCCTCTGCTATCTTCTATTTTGTGAATGCTAGTTTCCATTGAGTCCATTGTTCAGCTTTATATGCTGTGATCAGAACTAATTGGGCTTTTTAAGATTGGGGCACAAAACCCTTACACAGCCGCATCAGAGGAGAACACAGTTTTATTTTACTTACCTTTTTCAGGTGTGCATTTCCTAATTACATTTCTCAATTTTAAGAAGTATCCCTCAGCACGTACTTCTGAATTTCTTAGGAGCAGAGAATGCCATTGGAGAGTTACAGTTAGAGAGAAGGCTTTCTGTTAAATGGTTTTAAGTGAAAGCAAGTGTTGGCCAATCAGTAGCTATGGGAGGATACCTAATTTTCAAGCCATTCAGATATTTCTTGTGCTGCAGAATATGACCCTTGAGTATCTCTTGGTTTTCTGTCCTCCTTGTCTTGTAAGCTGGGGTATGCATTTCACCATTGTGGCTCTGGCTCGCTGAAGATTTTTTTGATATTTTCTCCTGTTAAAGGAGAAGCCGCCGCTGGAGCATTTACCCGCCATTCAAGGAGTGGTGGGTGAACTTTCACTGCCTGAGTCTTCAACTGCTAGGGCTGGAGTCCCTTCACAACGGGTGACTCCAGTGAGCTGACAGGTGCCCCTTTTGATTCCATTCACACACACACGCACACGCTTACTTTCAGGTGCATTTCATCCTTCTTCAGGTTGACCCTAGTTCTCCTCACAGCAGAGTCCCAGGCATCAGATTTTATAAAAATAAATAATGTAATCGGGAGGTAGAGCAGCAGGGTCAGCTCGAGCTGGTGCCTCCAGAGGGGGACCCTGAACAAAGAAGTTACTGGGCAATTACACCCTTGTGAACCGTACATGTCTTCTAGTCCAATAGTGGGTTTTGGTCTAGGATCTTCCTATACCCTGTTAGATTGTTCTTAGGTGTCCAGACAGACAGGCTGTTGACTGTTCTTACCTTGTTGATTTGCAGTCTCTGCTTACAGTTGTAGCTGCCTTAGCTTCTGGTTTGGGCTTCTTTTACACCTGTGCCCCTTAGCAGAATTTGGGAAACCGGAAAAGTCTCAGACTTTGAAAAACATTTCCTAAGGACAGTCAAAACACCAGTGTGTTATCAACATCTTTCTCATGCTAAAAAGACAAAACACAGCACTGTACCAGCTATTAGGAAAATTATTAAGAAAATTAACTCTGTTGCAGCCTAAGGCTTCAGTAAATTGGCTGCTCATGCTAAGTAAGTGAGACCAAGGAAAAAGCATAAATTACGCAATATTATCGTGGAATGGCTAAGGTTGGAAGGGATCTTAAGGATCATCAGGATCCAACCTCCCTGCTGTGAGCATGGACACTTCACACTGGACCAGGCTGCACAAGGCCTCATAAATCAAAGTAACTTATTTTAAGGAAAGCGTATTTACTTAAGCTAAACAACTAGTATCTCTCAACAATTGCTCACATCTCTGAAAGGCTGACCAGCCTAAGCTGACATTCTTTTTTTAAGTAGTACCATTTCCAGTTCAGTAGCTTCTGAAAGCCAATCTGGAGTAGGGGATCGTTAGGAACAGTGGGATGTGTTAGTATCTTCATTGGTAAACAGATTCATTAAATTAACTTGAGACTGGAAGCATATGGCTAAAATCTTTCCTATGAAAAATGTTTGGTCAGAGCCTCATTTTTCTCCATGTAATAATCTGGTCAATATGTACTAAAAATAAGTTCCAGAGAAGACTCATTTTACTTCCCATTCAGCAACTAATACCCAATGGCTCAAGAGATTTAAAGTAATCCCGTTGCCAGACAAAATTCCTCAGATTATGTGAGACATTTTAAACCTGTACATTTTGAAGTATGTTTGCTGTAACTGTTTTGTTTTTTCTCTCTTTTAGTGCATAGAAAGTGTTCTAGGCAAGTCAGATTACAATCACAACAAAGTCAACCAGTGGACTGCGGCTATAGTAGAACAGTCACTGACACATCTGGTAAAACTTGGAAAAACATATAAGTACATTGGTGAGTATAAGCAGTGGTACTCTTACCACATAGAATCACAATAAATAGTTGCTGAAAGGTTCATTTGAATGCAGTGCTATATTCAGTAGAAAGTTTTAAACTGTAAACAAAGCAAAGCAGATACCTAAACTCTTCTGTTACGTGGAGTTTTGGTAAAACCATGGCAGTTTCACTTGGGCTAAGCGTGGTAGCTACAGTTAGCACAGAAAATGATGTGTTGCACAATCTTTCCTGACTGTTAAGCAACCCAAAACTATTATATCCACTTTCCAACACCGGTTTAGGAGATAGATGCTGTTTATCTTAAATAAAATTTTCAGAAGGATTAAGCTTACTATAAATACAGACATTTGAAAGACTTTAGTCCTAAGCTAAGTGATGTTCCACTATATTTATGTGCATATCTGTGGAAGGGAAATGGAAATAAGTTTAACCCAGTTTGGTTCTTATGTGGAGTGTTGGTGAGATAGCAAGTGTAGCAGCACTCTGCTGTGTTTTGGAAGTCTTGGTTTCAGATTGTCACTGGTTTTATAATAATTTCAGGTTGCCCAGGGAAGGTGTGGAAGCCCCATCCTTGTTCAAGGGCAGGTTGGATGGGGCTCTGAGCAACCTGATATAGTGGGAGGTGTCCCTGCCCATGCAGGGGGGTTGGAACTAGATGAATTTTAAGGTCCCTTCCATCCCAAACCATTGTGTGAGGCTATGTTTTCAGAGAGCAGCCAATTAGCACTTTTAGGAAACAACTCTCATCAAGTGTGACTTTTGCTGTACCTGTGAGGACAGCTGCAATCCTATTCTGATGTGCACATGACACAAGCCATACCTAAGCAGTTTAAGAGATAAAAACCATAATCCTATTAACAAGCATTTTGTTAAAGCAGCTGTCTTTATGCGAGTAAAAATAATAGTGAAATGCATGCTAAGTTCTTGAAGAAAATACTGGGGGCAAGGGGATAGTCAAAAAGGCTTTTGACTTCAGTGTGTGCTGCCTGCCAGCCATTTGAAAACAATGCAGGCTTGAGTTCAGAAGTACTGAATGATTCACCAATTCTTTAATAACTAATTCCTTGCTTTTATGACTGTATCTTGCAGTAACGTGTGCAGTGATGCAGAGGAGTGGAGCTGGTCTTCATACAGCAAGCTCGTGCTTCTGGGATACCACAACTGATGGTAAATTTCCTCAGTCAAGTGAAAAGTTTGTGGTAAAAGAAAGTTACTGATTGCTCAGTTTTAATAGGCTCAACATTTTCAAGAGTGATTGTAGAAGCTGTAGCTTCCAAGATTAGATGCTTGTTTACAATCCCAGCAGGAATAACTGTGTTAGCAGTTAGTGCCTGCATTAAGAGTGATTGCTTTGTAAATTATAAGAAGCAGGAGTAGAAATGCCTTCATGCTGAAACGAGTCAAAGCATTTAATTCTTGTCAGTAACCACAGATCAGTCGAAGAGACAGTAAAATGCTGCTTGCAGCAAATGCAAGTGGCTGATCCTGAACATAACTGCCTGTGTGCTGTACAGAAATAGCTCTGCTCTGGAGGAGAGCAGAACATGGTGAAAACCAGAAATAGTTTGACTAACAGTGTGTTTTTCAGTTCTTTACTATTCGCCAGGCTTTAGATGCATTTTATTGCTTCTAAATTAGTTCTAAATGAATTTTTTCCCAGGTTCGGAGTATCATGGGGAAGCAAAATGAAAACGATCTTAAGTCTGTCACAGACTCAGAAAAGTCTTTTTAGAAGAGGGCACCAAGAATAACTTTAAATTAGGGATGGCACTAGAAAGTCAACCAAGGTTTAAAAAAAAAATAATAAAACAAAGTTAAGTAAACAAGAACATTTTTAATCTTCATGTTTCCCTAGCCTCCAAGGAACTGATATATTGATACAACAGAAGAGGAAAATCTACAGAAAGTAGACACTAGAATGTATTTGATATAGTCTTTTCCTGATTTCTTGTCTGATTGTCTGGCCAATTTAATTACGAGATTTTAAAGGATTTTTGCAAATCCAGCTTTTTAATAGAAAGATACTGCAATTGTGTTTTCCTGGAAATTGTCTTAAGCATACAAGGCTTATGTTAGGTAACAAACAATGTATGAGCTAACGAAAGTGTTTTGAGGACTGTAGTCTATTTATAGCCAAGATGACATAATAGGACTTACCTTAAATCACTGCTGAAATATTCATGCTTATTTGACATCATTTACACTGCAGTAAAGTGAATGTAGTAAAGACACTGGAATTCTGTTCTCTTCTAGGAACCTGTACAGTGAGATGGGAAAACCGAACAATGAACTGCATTGTCAATGTGTTTGCTGTTGCTATTCTCCTGTAGCTGACTGGAAGATAAATATAAGCAACACCAAAGCCTTTAAAAAAAATACAAAACGTCCAAACACATGACTAAATATTTCAAACCATTATTTGTTTTTGTATCAGGAGCATACAGAAGTTCTCAACAGAGAACATACAGTCTAAGCCAGTTCTCATAGATTTATTATCTGAAAGCTAGCAAAAAAATTAAATATATATATATATCTATCTAAAGTGAAAATAGGAGTAATTTAAATATTCAGAGTAGGTTAATGAGAAGATGCCACAAAGATCAATACAACTTATATCAAAGCTAATATCAAAGACACTTTGTTCAAGAGGAACAAAACACATCAAAGGAAGGGTCAAAGGGCAAGCAAGACCTCTCAGGATTATGGTGCATTTGGGAACAAATTATGAACACAATTCAGAGTGGATATACTGTAAACAGTACTGGTGCTTCATGTTTGATTAAACAAAAAAATCTCACATTTAGTGCTGGTGCTTGTGAAATTGCCTAAGCATCATGTTTCAGTCAAGCATGAACATTTATGTTGAAATTAAATCCAGTTAAGCTTTTCCCCTGGAGGCAGAGGATGACTTCATTGGGATAAAGGTGAAATATACTTAGTACCAGCAGAATTCTAATTTATCTTCAGAATGAAGAACGTAGTATTTGTTATTTATTCAGGGAAAAATGCTGGGGATCAGACATCAGCCCTTAATTCATAGTTTACAAATCCAAAAACATTCTGAAGGTACTGAAATTTGGTTTTATTGCATGACTGCATAATTTGTAACAAGCACTTTATTGATTCCTCATGCAGTAGCCAGGAGCTAGGGCAGTAAGACTGGACCCACATTACTCCCAAGCAGGATTAAAGGGTTTGGAGAGAAGGCACATACAATTCTAGAGGCTCTTTCTAGCTTTGAAAGCTTTTGTCTTTAAGCAACATATTGTTCTTTATAGGAGTGTTTCCTGTGTTCTCTAAGTCTAGAATTGGGTCTTAGTCCTGTGAATTAATACAGTTAAAGTTCAAGCACTGAGACTCCTGTAAAGATTTATGCAAGCTCTTAACTTTCCTCATTTGATGAGTCTTAACTTGAAATAGTCCACGTGGAAGAAAAGCATTTGCACACATGCATTTATTTGCTGGATTGGGGCCTACATTTTTGTTGATTAATGCACAAATTATATGATAAAGAGATGTATCAATACCAAAAATGCCTAAATGATTGCTGCCACTAAGTGGCAGGTACATAAAGTTGTTTTCTCAGATGCTGCTTAAGGATAGACACTTGTCTTTATTACTGCACGTTGTTGGAAGAGACTGGTAACTACCTGGTAAACAGCTACCATAAGGCTGTTTTGGATTTTAACATGAATATTAAAGCACTATTATGCAGGTTTTTTTAGTTGTGTTTTTTTATTCTTTTTTTTTTTTTAGATAACTGACTATTAGGGCATGTAGTAAGTGTCCTGTAAAAAGAACAAGCTACAAACTATTTAATTGCTGAAGCTGTATACACATATAGCTAGTATGAGACTACAGAAGGAACATGTGTACATGAAGTTCACAATATTGTTAAAAATCTCTTGCTTTGCAGACAGGTTCCACTTTTCCCCAAGTGCAAGTAAAACTAATATTGTAATATTGCACATGCCTAACAGGCAAGTGTAGTGTGAGGATGATGTGTGTGTGTATGTTGTGCTGACTTTCAAATGTTTAATAATTTAGCATTATTTGGATTAGGTCAGCAATTTCTGAACTAGGTGCCAGATCTAAGAACTGACTTGTGGGACTGAGAAAAATTGAGTAGTTTCAGTGATGTTTGGGACTGCACAAAGTGAAAAAGTAAGTGGGGTGGCATCTGGAAGAAGGTTTGTTATGATTGGCACAGTGTAAGGAGCAGGTGATTAAAAATAGTGATGGGTGTTATCCCCCTTTAATGGGCATTCTGGTGCCATGGTTGGAAGAAATATCCAAATAGGCATTTGTAGTCTCATTTGCTGTTTCTGCTTTACTTGAAAACAAGATGCACTGAGTAAGACTGTCAGTTTAATGCTTCGTGAAGGTTCGGCTGCAGAATAAACCCAGAAAATACTGCTTAAATACAAGACTGCTTCATTTTTCTTTCTACCAAAAAAAAATAAAGTTTTGCCTTAGTTGTATTTTTGCTTCTTGTTCTTATCAATATATATCGGAAGTGAGAACACTATTGCTCTTACTTTCCTTCACTTACATACAATAGTGAGAACTCGGGAAATGTATTGGAAGTTGTACATGTATTTTAGGGACAAAACCTCATCAAGGGCTAGTTCTCAGGCTTGGTCTAGTTTCTCACACCTCTTATCTCCTCAGACCTCTTCCTCTAACTGCTTTTCTTGATGCGAATAAAAACTTTTGTTGCTCCAGGGAAAAGTATTTTCATTCTGCATGTATGTTCCTACATAGGATTTCATGACGAAACACACCCGTTACTCTTCCCATGCAGATTTTGTTAAACTAAACAGAAAAGTGTGAAAGGGAAAGTAAGGGAGCAGGTTCATTACTTTCCTTTTCATTGCCTGCCAGATGTCCATCAGTAACTTGTTACCTTTCTGATGACTGTCTTCTAATCATACTCCATACTCAAAGAAACAAGTACTAATCCCAGTATGTTCAATTTAGGCTCATGCACTTCACTTTTCCTTATGGTTTGTATCAGGTGCTTATGGTTAAGTGCATGAAGGAAAAGAGACAGAAAGGCAACTTTTGTAGGCAAGACACTACCATTTTAAATAAATGTTTTTACCAGTTAATGACAGAATTTGTTATCTATGCTTATATAGCTTCACAGTGTGGAGACTGTTCAGAATGAAAGCCATTAAAATCCCCGACCCACAGGGGAAGGTGGCGAGATGGACTAGGTGGCTCAACTGCAAGAAACTCACTTTCTAATCTGGAGGTTCTTCTCATAGTCCTATATTGGATATAATTAGGAGAATTTCTGAACAGCTCCTCCTAAATAAAAACATAGTATCTGCAAAACCCTCCATCATATCTGCAAACTCCTTAGGAAGAAATTAAACGTTCTCTGTTTTTGTACTTTACTGAGGTTTTTAAGGTAGCCTGCTTGTTCATGACCACCTGGGTAAAATTAGAGTCTGGGGGAAAGATGATGAATGAAGACCTTGTTTGACAAAACAAAGTATAATCTTAATGTAACATCATAGACACATACATATATTTTCTTATTGTAAAATGCCATCAAAAAGATGTAAGGACCTCACCAATCAATGCTGTAATAGCTATGTAGTGTTCGCCCCTGAGTTGAGCATTTTAGGAAATTAATCTTAGAGAAACTGGCCACAGCTGTAGATAGACAGTCTGCCGATCTTCTGAGCAAGTTACAGCTGCCTGTTCCATGTTGCTCATTACAGGCCTCCTGAATGATAATTGAAAGGATTGTTTGTAGGGAGAAACATTGTAAATGCTGGCTCTGGAAGGGAAGAAGATGAGTAGTTTTAATGTAAGGTTTACAGCTGGATCAGCTGAGGCTCAGGGATCAGTGTGGAGACCTTCCAGGCTCAACTCTTTGCACCGTTGCCTTGACGCCTTGAGCGAACTTACGCAGTTGCTTGGGGGAGGAGGGGAGTGTGCGCGCAAAGTGTTTCCTTCATTGAAGTAGCAACTGGTAAACACACGCTTTCCAGTTTGGGCTTGATGGGTTGCTCTGCTTGAAGCCCGAGTAGACCTCTCTGAACAGGCAGCGCTGCTGGCGCCAGGGGGATGCGGACAGGGCCTATACTGCCCGTAGCTGAGCTAAAGCGGGAGGTGTAGCCCTGGCAAACGGGGCTGCAGCCGCCCGGGACCTTGGTGCTGGCTCCGTGGCTCTAAGCCGGGCCTCCCACCCGATGTTTCACTGGCAGCAGCTTCACAGCACTAAACACGGAGCTGGCGGCTCAGCGCTGGAGCACACACCGGCCGCCCGCGCCTCCGGGTGTCCAGGCGGGAGGGGTGGCCGAAGGGCAGTCAGACACAGCCCCTGCCGCGGCCTTAGTGGAAATGTCCCGACTGCAGCTTTACAGTCAGTAATAGTAACACGTAACAGTCACCTGCTTGCAGAACAGCCTGGGCAGTTGGGTGATGCCATTTCCTTTTGGAACGTGTTTTCATTGGAATTGTTGTAGCCTGCAGGGAAGGTGAGACTGCAAACTGCCCTTGCCAGCCGACAGCCAGCCCGCTGGCATCCCTCTTGCTTCCCTGCTGGGAATGCGGGAGTTAGGGCAGTGGCTGTGGGCTTTGTGTCCGACTGTCACCCACCCATCTTCTGACTTGGGCTATTTTTGTATTAGCTGTTGGGCTTTCTCTACATGTGGTCAACTATATATGTGGCAAACTACTCATTTCAGTGTTCCTGCTATAAAAAATGCTTTCTCTTGAGAAGAGACACGGGACTGCCATCCACCTATTACACCACAACAGTAGTGGTATCTATTGATGCTAAACAGGTGTTGGGAAATTAAAAATAGAATTGTTGTTGTGTATTGCCAGCCTCCTTCACTCACTCACTAGAGATGGTCAAGGGACTGTACGATCTCATAAAAATGGCACACTACTCATTTCAGTGTTCCTGCTATAAAAAATGCTTTCTCTTGAGAAGAGACACGGGACTGCCATCCACCTATTACACCACAACAGTAGTGGTATCTATTGATGCTAAACAGGTGTTGGGAAATTAAAAATAGAATTGTTGTTGTGTATTGCCAGCCTCCTTCACTCACTCACTAGAGATGGTCAAGGGACTGTACGATCTCATAAAAATTTGCATGATGTTTTCTCTTTTGTAAGCCAAACTTGAAATGGAGAAAAATCAAAGAAGAGAGTCAGCGTGGAGGGGCAGGGAAAATATCAGCAGCTGAAACAAGCCTAAGATAGAATACAGAGCTTCAGATTTTTTTACTATTTTTTTTCCACATAGATTGTGATTTAAATGATAGGAAAATTCCAAGTCATAGAACCAATGATTGAAATGCAGCTGAGTTTATGAAACTTGTTTTCTGACTCTTCCTTTTTTTCAACATCTGTTCCTCCTCTCAGCTCC